TAACAAGCTCCATGGCATTATCACGAGTAAAAGGCTGCCATGGTTCTCTCTACATGTGGTCTGTCTGTACACAATTCAGAACGTCAGGCATTACTGTATTCTAACATGCCAATAACAATGGTTTATTTTTATTTTTATTTTTTTGGATGAAGAAGAAAACCCCTCTTCATCTTCCACTTGAAGCATAAAGGATTAAGGCAATTAAGTCCTTGGACTTTCCCTATTTTCTCACATGAGCCCTCAAAATAAAATGACAAGTAAGCCCTCTAATGTCCTAATCTCATCAAATTAACCTTTATATTAATAACAACAATCACATGTCATCATGTGAGTTAAACAGTCGAAAAAATTTTTTCTTCCATGGCAAAGGAATATCATGTGATAGTCGTGATTATCCCCATTAACATAAGGGCTGATTTGTTAAGATCAAGAAGTTCAAGGTCATGCATGCCACCTTTTTTCTGAGTGCTTATCTGGGGAAATGGGAAAAACTCAGGTACTCAACACTAGATATTGCCAAGGACTAACCTTAGGGCCTTTTTTTTCGCGGGGGATTGGCGGGAGGAGGGGGGGGGTTGGAATGAGAAAAACTCAAGGACTCAACACTAGACATTGCCAATGATTAACCTTAGGGCCCTTTTTTTTTTTTTTTTTTTTTTTTGGAAATGGGAAAAACTCAGTGACTCAACGCTAGATTTTGCAAAGGATTAACCTTTGGGCTTTTTTTCTTTTCTTTTCTTTTCTTTTCTTTTGAAAGGCTAACCTTAGGATTTTTTTGCTTGGTGGCAATGATTATTCTTTTATCAAATTATAAAAATAAATTAAAATTGAAAAACTTCAATGGGAAACTATGAATAAACTAAGTCTCATTATCTAATTTTCCTTTTACATTATTCCCTATTCATCCCCCATATATAGTTTAGTAGAAAATTATCAATATTAAGGCTTATGTATTCCTAACTTCCAAAGAAAGCTTCTCAAATTTACTTTATTTTTATAATTTAACCTAGAAATAGCAACTATTATTTAACCAAACATGCTCAAGTATACTCTTTACCTTAAAAAAATGACCCAGGTACATTGAGGGTCAGTGACTACACTCCAATAAAAATTTAGCATATAAACAAATAATAAATAATTGATGGTTATTGCTAATGGCAAGAATCCATCAATACAGACATCTCAACTACTGATGAAATATTGTGGAATCCTAGTAGTTAAAGTGATTTGTCATTAATATAAAAGGTTGAGCAGTGCTAGGGGCACTCGCTTTCTACACTCTCCGGCAGCACTTCTCCTTTCATTAGGCCACGTAAGCTTCTTTAAAGCTTTCAGGTGCAGCCTCTCTAAACCAAAATGACGTGGCCCAATAAAAGAGAAAGTCTTGGCCGAAGAGTGCAGGAGGCGAGTGCCCCTAGCATTGCCCTAAAAAGTTTTCAAACCCTCATCCTCATGGCAAGAATTCAAACCTGTGCTCTCCCTTCCCACTCTCCTTCTCCCCACAGGCTTAAACCACCTGCTCTAGTACATTAAAAACTATTCATTAACTGTTAAATTATCATTTCACCAATTACACATCTTATGTCATTTAATAGCAAACTTGCAAAGAACTAACAAAATAATTGAGTTCTAACCAATAATTATCCCTTACTAAAGGCTTCAACAATGGAGAATAATCATTCTGCTTAAGACTACTAGAAAAATGGGTATCACATTCAGATTTTATTTACGAATTCAGACTCATACAGCTAATAACAATTGTGATGGATTGTTAGTAAAACCTGGCAAAAATATCGATCAAATACATTATCCTAAGGGCTGGGAAAGGGAAAACCCTTGTCACTTAATACTATATATTGTGTTTATTCAGTCATACTTCAAACACTGTTTATTCAGGTTTTGAGCAATGGGTATATCAACAACTCAACGACAGGGTGGCTTGCAAATCTGAGAAACAAAGGATGTTGCTAGCCTAGCCATCCATTTCTAGACATGCCTAAACATGAGGTAGAGACAGGACATTCATCCAGTCTTTTAAATCCAGGAGAAAACCCACAAGCATATTAAATTTAGCATAACAGCAATCTCAGTAGTGACCTCCACTCCAGCAGGATCAATATGAAAAGAATAACATTTCTAGACTACATGAGGATTGAACATGAAAAACAAAAACTGCTAATGTATGATAAAATTCAGTGCATTTAGCATGGTTGTGTGGTTTAGAAGCTTGAAGGTATTAGTTAATAAAATTTCTTGAATGTATGAAGCTAGGTAACCACAAAAAATTCTATGCCAAAGAAGCCCATATTATAGCTAACCACAAAGAGTTAGTTGCAACCGGTAATCATCCTGTAAAATTGCCAATCTAAAACTACAAGCTGGAAACTTCACTTATACAACTAAAATTATATATATCTCAAAACAGTGGTAGGTAAAGCAAAGCATAATTTGGAAGATAACAGGCAACAGAAAGCCCCAAGAATTAAATGCTCTGAGACTGCTACCATGAAATGTAGATCTAAAATCACCTCAGCATATGGTAGGGAAAAACTATATACGGTTCATATTGTGTAGCGATTCTTGGCAGCTCTGTCAAGCTTCTTTGCATCCTCCTGAAAGACCAAAAGACAACATCATGTCATTTATTTAGTGAAGCTATAACATTTTTTTTTTTTATATGAAGCTATAATATTATATTAGATTGGCAGACACCATAATATGGAATTTTATTGATTAAAGAAGGTCCTTACATGAAATATGAACCCTATAGTATCATTGTAATCAAGGAATTCCTTCCACTGTTTCCCAATGCTTACCTACAACAAAATTGTGCTGTAAGAATTAAGCAAGTTCCACTTTATCAAAATGGAAGCAATCACAACATCAAGAAAGCATATTTAGGAAAAGAACAGCCTCAACCCCATATTTAGTATGCAGTTTAAACAGTCACCTGAGCAACTTCATTTGCAGCATTCTTGGTCCACAATGCTATTTTGTCCTGCTTGTTTCTGACATTAACCACTGCTCCGCAAATTTCGTCACCATGTTCAAATTGTTCTCCAATCATAGCCAGCAACTAGAATAATCAGAAGAAAAAGATCAGGCAAACCTCAGCATTAAGCATCGTATTTCACATGAAGATGTACTTTATATGATCTAAAGCATACCGTGTACAGCCAACATATATCTGACTTCCCTCTGGGGAAAGTTACAGTCCATTTGCCTCCATCAGCACAGATAGGATCTTCCCACTTTGGCTCAATTTTATATTTGAAACAGTGAAAGTCTGCCCCCACAGCCAACTTACTTGGGTGATGTATGTTGTTGTAAATACTGGATGCAGAAAAGGTTCAGAAGGAAAAATAAAAAAGAATTAAAACTACATGAGGTAGCCAGCTTTTTCAGCAAGCTCTCGATCTTGAAAACAGATTTTGTGGTTAGCAAAGAATCTATAAAAGAAGCAGAGTGCAATTCCATCTTTCTAGCTCTGAACTAAATATAAATTCCAGACTTAAAATTCTGACTGGAATGAGTATAGAACTGCATCCTCTGCCTTCAGAAATGAAAACAATTCAAGTGTATGCAATGCTTGCCTCACTCAATGCCAGGTAACTTAATGGTTAATTTACAAAGTCAGTAGGATATTAGATAAGGCATATTTTAGCCAAGCAAACAACAAATAAGGTGGAATTTTGATGAGTAGATCATGTCATTAATCCACAAGAAAGTCAATAAAACATAAAAAAGGGAGCCACTAAACATCACAAAACAGGGAGCAAATTGCATTGACATCACGAGTGCACTTTCCAGCCAAATCAAGTTAATCAATCAAGTATGATATTTTGAAATTTTAAGTGCTGATAAAAGCAACAGCTCAACTGGTTAAACAACCATAGATTTAAGAATAATGAATGTGTTAGTAAAGAAGCAATGAAGAGCTCGTATAGGCAGTTATAACATTGTATTATTGTATACAAAACTACACCCTAAAAGAGCATAAAGGACATTCATTTGTGGAACACTTGTTTCAGGAAAAACACAGATATTTAATTAAAAATATAAAGCTACTCTTAATTCTTCTCATATTTTTTGAAAGTATCAGATAATAATGGAGGAACATGATTCCCATCACAGAAAGGATATGGTCGAAGAACAAGTAAAAGAAACAAACTAAACAGAACCAATTTGCAATCCCGCATAGAACTAAAATCGAAAATGATAATAAGGAAAGCATTCAACAAATCCAAAGATCTTGAATATCATCAAGAAAGGCCAATCAAGAAACCACACAGAAAAGACACCTCTAGACTTCAAGAAACTCAAACATCTCCGGCACCGTCAAACCCCCACAAATCATATCACCTCTGGACTCCAATTCATTTTTCTAAGTTCAAATAACTAGTCTAGCGATTTTGTTAGTAACAAAAGCTAAAAAATTCAACCTAACTGAGACCTAGAAAAGCTGAAAAGAAACAAACAAAACGGCAAAGAGATCACCTCCAGAATTCCTCAACAGTGGCGAATGTATAAATGGACCGCAGAGAGCTGCCCCAAGTGGCTTGCTTTGACTTAGCAGAAGGATTATCGAACCAGAAGGTCCAGGAGTGCTCAAGCGGGTGTGGCTGGTAGGTAATCGCTTTCTTGGAAGAAGACGAAGCGTCATCGTCTTCTCCGACGATCTCTCCCTCTTCTAGTTCCTCGTCGTCCTCCTTGGAGTTAGGGTTAGGGTTCTTGGTCTCTTCGTCAGTAGTCGCCGAGGATTTAAGGTTTTCTTCCACCGACATTTGCGATGCTCTTGCTTTCTTGGATCTTCTCTATGCGGCTAAAGTCAGGATTCTTGAAGGAGGAAGATGAGCGCAACTGCTTCTGACTATGGTAATGGATTCCTCAGCTTTGGTGTGTTGGATGGAAGCCTTATGGATCGGGTTCGGGTCGAGTGGGTAGGCCCACATCCCCAAAAAAGTGAAAAAGATCTTTATGATCCATTCAGTTTATAAAAGTGTTTATTATAGCCCCAAAACAACATCCTTTCAAATTCAATAGTGGTTGTTCTACTTTGATTTTTGGCTTTCTAACTCCCAAACATGAAAGTACAGTTGCGAATATTGAAAATGACATTCACTTACCATATTAGATTTTTATCTTTTATAAAAAATAAAAAACTAAATTTATATTGTTTTATATAAATTCTCTTTTATACAAATTTTTTTTAAAGAATCAAATTAATTATATATTTAAAATTCTCTTTTATACAATTTAAATTATACTAAACTAAAAAATATATCTCCCTAAAAATTAGTATAATTAATGCAATCTAAATTGCAATGTACAAAGTCTCGATTATATTACAATTTAACACAATTCAAACAACAAAAAAGGAACAGAAATATTTATTGTATAAGAAATATGAGAAGGAACGATAATAGAGGGATGAAAAAAATAAGATTGGAAACCTGAAGGTCCTGACCCTATAATTTTAATCTTATATATGTATGTCTGATCATAAAATCCTCGCTTCCCTACAAAAACATTTCATTTACAGGCATTATGGTTTTTTTCCCTCTACCCAAAGTTATTAACCAAGGCACTGAAAGAACAGGAAGGAACCCAACAGCAAAACTCCAGTTTTCATCAAAGTATTTCCCCCTCTTCTCCATCTTCATTCATAGTTGCCTCTTCTTCATCCTCGTCATCCAGATATTCGTCCTTAATGGACAAACCCACCAACTGCAATGGATTCCCAATGCCAGTTCCTTCAAGTGCTCCACTTACCGTTTGATGAGACCTGCCTTTATGGTAGAGGCAATATGTAGACAAGGAACATCCACTCAGCATCTCGAGTTCCTTCAAAATCTCCAGATTCTGTTCAAACTCCACTGTTTTTTCCACCTGCGTTGCAAATAACGCAACAAAGTCAGGCTAAGTATAAAGAGTATTATATAATAATCTATAGCCACAAATATAAAAGGAAAAAGAGAAACCTTTTGCAATGCAATCCGAGCAGCTTCTCTGTCTCTTTCACGCTTCTTTTTCAACTCCATTTCTGCCTTCAATTCTGCAGCAGCTATGGCAGCTTTGGCAGCTTGGATTTGTGCTTCAATCCTAGCCTTCTCTGTACATAACATGATCATTAGAGAACAAGATGCAGTTTGATTATCTGATTAGTCCAAATCCAGTCATACTTTATGTCCAACTCCAAACTAAAAACAAAAGAACCGCAGCCCAGAATCAGACATGAAGCCAATAATCAAAATACAGGTCCATTTCACAGGATAAATAGAATTTCTTATTTCCAACATAATGAAAAACTTAAATAAGCAAAAATAAAATATTATAGCCCTTGACATATAATTTATTTGCATTTTATCCATTCCATCACTTTGGATACTCAATAAGCACAACATACAGAGCAAGCAAGCACACACTCAATACCCATGAATTGAACTAACAGCCCATTTCCCTCACAACATTACAATCAGCAAAAGTTTAGCTTCAGAGCGACAATAATTTTCATGCTCGGACTCCACCAACTAGTGCACTACGAAAATAGGGATCAATAAAAATATTTAAAACTACAATTTATGATTATTTCCATTTCATTGAGAAAAAAAAAATCCAAAGTTCTTTGCATAGATTCTGAAATCTGAATTCCATTTCTAATGCTTGTCATGTTTTCTAACCTAAAAATTTAATCTTTTAGCCACAAAAAAATGTAAATGAAGCAAATAGAGAAGTCAGTGAAAACTCACAGCCCATCATCGAGATAAATAAATAAATAAAATTAGCTTCAACCACAAGGATGGAGCTGAATAAATCACCTTCACGTTGCCTTCTTTCCATTCGTTCCTTCTCCTGCTGGATCTTTATTGGATCAGCTTTATCACCCTATATCAAAATAAGGCAACCTAAATAATCAATATTTAACAAAAACTGGAACAGAGCTCCCAGCCTGTGCAGAAATTTGCAGCATCCAATTTACCCATTGAAAAAACTTACATGATCAAGGAGAGTCTTTTGTTGAGCCTTCAGAATTGTGTCTGCAAAACGGGTCTTTAGCAATGCAGCACGCAGAGCCTTTGATGGAGACATTTGAACATCAAAAGTAGTTGTTAACCCTACAAAATTAAACAGACACCTCAATTCACCAGAAAAAAGGACCAAAACATGAAGTTGAGCCATCAATTACAATCTAAAGAAAGTTAGCAATATCCATAACCA